ATGGATGACATATCTTTGGATCCCTGATATCGTTCCACGGTGAATCGAGTAACATGTTTTTCTCTGGTTAACAAGATAATTGCGTTTTATTTAAGTTCCCACTGCGCTAGTATTAACTTGTTCACGATGAACAGGATTTAATTAATATTTAAAGTATTTATTACGCCGATGAAGACCCAAAAAAGGTCAAAACGTTCGTTCTTTACTGTAATTAGATGATTATATTGTAATAAATTACAAATATTATACGCACACTAATTTCGGCGCTGACTCTGAATTGCTACTTAACCATATCATAATTAAATAATTATCCTGTATACACCTTAGGTGAGATTAACTCTTTTCGAAATACCGATTATATTTCATATTGTATCTAACGATTTTCCAATTTCACAATCCGGCATATTAGGAAACGATTTCTTTAAACAAACCTCATCGAAAATAGATTACGCACAAGGGCACTTGGATGTCTCCGGAATCAACATACCTTTCTAATCACCTGAAGGCACAAGGGCGATGTCTCCGGAATCAACATACCTTTCTTATCACCTGAAGCCATTATAGTAGCGATCCGAATCATTATTTTATGTAAGAATAGAAAATCCAGAAATAAAAGTAGGATACATACCAAGATTAAAGGTGGCACATGGAAATTATTTGGGAGACACCATCATGGAGAATATTTCTGGAAAGGCATACTTAAATGTTATAAGTACTTTAGATGAAGAAGCGGAAGTACATGTTCCAAACTTGCACCTAAAACCATTGGGCGAATTATTAGACAGCCATAATTCAAAAATCGAGGCTCTAAGCAGTCCAGAGGAGCCAATGAATAAAGAAGAAGAAGAAACTATTTACGAAACATTTATACATTCGTATAATCAATTCATATAATGAATTCGACGATTATGAAAATAACATGAATATTGAAAATAAAGGTGAAAACAATAATGAAGAAACTATTATTATCAAAGAAATCAACCAATATGAAGACGAAGAAAAAATCTTAAATCAAGAAGAAAATTAAAATAAGAATAAAATTAAAAATGATGACAAGATAAAAAATAAAACTGAGAGGAAAAATAAAAAATTAAACGACTCAAAAATCTTTGGAGAGGGAAATTATCAAACCTCTCCTGAAAATCTAATAAATCCAACCATTCTTGGAGAGGGAAGTTACCAAACCTCTCCTAAAAGTTTAATTAATTCAAAAATCCTCGAAGAGAGAAATTACCAAACCTCTCAAGAAGGGAATAATTCTAGGATTTCGGAACGAAATTTCCAAACCTTGTCAGAAAATCTTAGCTCCGTCGATTGCGAGGAGGAAAATTACCAAACCTCACTATGTATTTCGACACAACCTCATCCCAAAAAGGAGAGAAAGCCTTTATCCTCCCTAGATATCAAATTTCCTAAGGTTGAATTATTTAAAGAAGAAAATGATAATAAATTAGAAACCTCTCATGTTATTTTAAAAGACCTTCTTGAAGAGGCTCAAAAATATAATTGGAATATTAAAAATTCAAATCTACGAAATCTTAAAAATAAAAATAAACCGTCTTCAAAAATCCTTACATCCTTATTGAATAAGTCTCAAGAAATTTTAGAGAGATTTATGCGAAAACGCAAAACAAGATATAAAGGAAACCAACAAGTTGAAAATTACAATTTGCATAATTGTCTAATAATCTCCGAAGAAAAAGAAAAGAATCGCCGAAATCATAGAATCGTTACGATTAGAACATTTAAATAAAACAGAGAGAAAAAGCATTATAAAATTAATAACGGACAGTCAAGATCGATTTCATATTCCTGGAGAAAAATTAACTGCAACTCACGTATTACATCATCGAATACCTACCACGGATGACCAACCAATTAATACTCGACAATATAGATTTCCACAAATACATAAAGAAGAAATAAACAGGCAGGTAAAAGAACTGTTAGAAGGAGGAATTGTAAAACACTCACAATCGCCATATAACACGCTTATATAGATTATATCTAAGAAAAAAGACTCCAAAGGAAACAAACGATGGAGAATGGTATTAGATCTCCGTGCTTTAAATGATAAAACTATCGGAGATGCATATCCTCTACCGAATATCGTCGATATATTAGACCAATTAGGAGGAGCTCGATATTTTTCAGTATGCGATTTAGCATCTGGATTTCATCAAATAAAAATGAACCGCGAAGATAGTCATAAAACAGTTTTCACTACTCCTTTTGGACATTACGAATTTGACCGAATGCCGTTTGGTTTAAAAAATGGCGGCTACTTTCCAGTGCCTAATGGACTTAGTATTAACTGGGTTACGAGGCAAGGAACTATTTGTTTATCTGGACGATATTGTTATCTATGCAACATCGTTAGAATAAAAACACGAAAGAAAATAAACGCTTTAATGGAACGTCTTCAAGAAGCTAACTTAAAATTACAGCCAGATAAATTTTTAAAAACAGAAGTAACCCATCTAAGACACGTAATCAGTAAAGACGGAATAAAACCAGATCCAAAAAAATTAGAAGCAGTACAACAATTTCCAAGACCTAAAACACCTAAAAATATTAAACAATTTTTAGGATTCGCAGGATATTGTAGACGTTTTATAACAAATTTTTCCAAATTCGCCAAACCATTAACAAATTTGTTAAAAAACAACACCCGTTTCGAGTGGACATCCGTGCAGGAAGAATCTTTTGAAATTTTAAAACAGAAACTATGCGAAGAACCAGTATTACAATATCCAGATTTTTCCAAACCATTTATTATAACAAATGATGCATCAGGAATAGCTGTTGGAGGAATATTATCACAAGGAGAGATAAATAAAGACCAACCGATAGCATATGCCTCACGAACCTTAATAGATAATGAATTAAAATACGATACATACGAAAAAGAAGCACTGGCTATTGTATATTGCGTTAAACATTTTCGACCATACTTATACGGAAGAAAATTCACTTTAGTTACAGATCATAAACCTTTAATGTGGTTTAAAAACGCACAAGATGCAAATATGCGAATACTCCGTTGGAGATTAAAATTGGCAGAATATGATTATGAGGTTGTATATAAAGCAGGGAAAAGAAACGTAAACGCAGACGCATTATCAAGAAATCCTGTAAATATCGAAGAAGTGGATTGTAAAGTCATAAAAAACAAGAAATTTTTAAACCCAGATAACCCTAAAGATGCACAATTAATTGCCGAATTATTAGAAAAATCTGATAGCGTAGAAGAAGAAGAAGAAGACGACGATTTCCATTTATATCTTTCAGATATCAAAGAAAACGAAGAAATTACACCAGAAAGCAATTATTAAATAACAATAACGATTCTCTTCCATTTACACCTACAGAATTAAACGAACCAGATTATGTATCAATTACCGAAAAAGCTTTAATACATGATCCGGTAAATATAGCGAATAGGGGACCCAGCCCCAATGATCTTGACCTTGACATATGTTGGACCTCGCTTTACAATGTAGCATGTACTTTGTAAGTTGTAAAGCGAGGTCCACCCTGCCTACCGGCGGGTATATATATATATGTGTACATCTCTACCCGCATATAAAGACCATATGATGTACATATACATACATATATACATACTTAATATTTAAAATTTATTCCTATTTCTAATATTTTCTCTATTGTGCGTAGGTTATACATTTTTCAGACAAAAAATGTAAGATATCAAGAAAGTCATAAAATAATTATATTTATTTGATATTGGATTATATACAGGGTGTCCGGTAAAGATTGTGCCAACGTTCTTGAACGGGTAGAGCACAGTAAACCGAACAGAAAAATCCATAACATTTTTTTTATAACGCTTAATAAAGGAGTTATTATTGAGTAAAATCTGGTCAATCAGCGCCGACTTCTAGCCGGACGCATGTCGGTGAGCCGCCCGCCTGGTAGTGTGCACTGCCGTAGCGATGGAGCGCTCACGCACACTACCAGGCACGCGGCTAAAGGTCGGCGCTGATTGGCAGACTTTACTCAATAATAACTCCTTTATTAAGCATTATAGAAAAAAATGTTACAGGACTTTTCTGTTCAATTTACTGTGCTCTACCCGCTCACGAGCGTTAGCACGATCTTTACCGGACACCCTGTATATAAGTTACTAAAGTTAGCTAAACATTTTTTAAATTATTTTTTTACATATATATTTCTTTAATTAATATTAAAACGTTTTTAAAACATTCTTAAACTTTTTTTTAAGGATTAAGAACTTCCTAAATTATATCGCCGACATTAACGTTGCTCAAAATGTATCATATGAAGATTGCATTTGTACTCTTTTGTATTTATATATAAATAAATAAGTAAATAAAATATTTTAAAGTTTTAAATTAAAATTAAAGTTTTTAAAGTCAATTAAAGTTTTAAGTTTTATAACTGTAAAGTCCCTTATTAAAGTTTTTAAATATAAATTTTTGCTTTCCTTTTCTTGCTCTCTTCTCTTTTTGCTGTGTGCAACCTTTTTACTTTCCCTGCTTAAAATGTTGGATACAAAATGATAGAAAATTTGTTTATCATATCCTATGGTAATTCTAAATCCTTTATTTCACAACTGACTTATGAAATTTCATAAGTGTATTGTATTATATATTATCAGATTTTTTATAAATTATTTTATAAGCAGGGTTGTTATGAAAAAATATTATAAGCAGTTTATTATAAAATAATAATATAAAATATGCAATGCAATATTTCCTATGATTGAGAAACATCAACTTGTTATAAACATTTATATTCTACATGATTAAAAAGAATAGTGTCATAAAATATGATTAAAATACATAGAAAGCCTATGTTTTGGTACATGATAAGTCATATAAATCAACATAGAAATTCTATCTATTTTTTATCACATCTAATCATTTTTTATTAAACACTTTAAGGAGGGTTTTTCTTTTACTGCACTGTGAATTGTGTGCATCTTAACATGAGTATTTACGTACCGAATAGCTCACCTATACGTATATCCTTCTGCACCTACACAGCGTATCGGAGGATTCCGATGGTCCACGGAGGACTTCCTTCCAGAGGTTCCAAATCTACCACTACCGGCATTCCTCCTCTTCGCATGCGAGCCACCGGTGAACATCATCTTCCACGACTTCACCAACAGCTCAGTTTAATTTCACTTTATACTTCACATCGACAATACTATTATCGCGTTTTAATTCACAATCCATGATTCATATACTAACGCGTTATTGGACCGTACACAATTTTCATACATTTTGATGCTCGAATTTAATTTGTTGAACGGTCAGAAAATTTAAGACATATCGAATAATCAACTACATAAATACAAATATGAAAAAAATTCGCTAAAAACTAGAATTTACGAATTTATATATAAATATCCGATGATGTCGCAAAATTCAATATACCGATTCATTCCTATATTCCAGAAATAATCGAATTTGCGCGATATTGAAGGCGAAATGTCGACATTCGAACAAAACGCGTACCTGTGTGTGAAATGCACTGCGTTGCGAGAAATATGTTTTCGGCTATCAGTTTGTTGCATCCTCTTCCACCTACATTCAAGAATAGAAACATCATAAAATAATACCATACTGTTCGGATAAATTTGGAGAGAACACAAAAATGTTCAACATTCAAAGCGATTGATTATTACGATTATTATTGATTATACGATCATTGTTCTCCAAGACGAATCATCTCTTACATTACTTCGACTATCAAATGGAGATCATACTTTCAGCGAGAGAATATTCCGTACAACACATTTATACAATGTTCTCACATATGTAACTATCTATAGACCGAATGATATTTATCCAATCCATTTCGAACTATCATCATTTGCCACAAGAAAATACGAGAAATATTCTTTTCTTTTTTTACGATTTTTCAACTTTTCCAAACAGAGAATAATATGGAAAGAATGATGATGGTTGGCACACACATCGTTGACATTGTTGCGATTACTGCTCCTATTGGGTATATCAAAAACGCATGACATTAAAAGGAACAACATGCGTTACCACTGAGATACAACGATGTGACTTCGAGCAACCGGGCGAGCAGCAGCTGGTCGCGATCTTACATTAGAATTTCCGTAATTTTCTCGGCGATATTAACCGAGGCGATATTCATTGTCCCACTGCCCGAAAATACCATTGTCATTGTCATGGTATCGTATCATTACGTATTCATCAATCAAATTCGATGATCATCAGACAAACGTTGAGATAAACGTAACAACTAGATTTTGACGCTTAAAACGTTGCAAAGGTTTGCAGAAAACTCCGCCGTAGTCTATAAATATCAGCCTGTTGAATACCGCCCGCCATAAAGCGACAGGGCTCGATCGTCGCGCCAGCTGCGCTGAATATCACAAGGCTCAAGAATTACTTAATAACTACTAATATATATTTTCCAGGCTGGAGAAGTGGAATCAGAATTCTTAAATAGCGATAATGTATTTTTTAATAGTAATGCGTTTTATAAGCCGTACATATATAAATGGTATTCCAAAAATTTAAAAAAAAAACTTTGTTTTATTAAAACACGTTTATTTATATTGCTGATTTCCTTTTTTTACGATGGAAAAAGTTAAACAGATATATATACATATATATATATATATATATATTTGCGATCTTCACAATAATTAAAGAGATATTAATTTAAAAAGATCGGCCAATCCGCACGACTATAGAAGCGCGTGGCGAAGCAGTGGGAGGGGCGCTTTACAAAGAACAATGGCTATGTACGAACGGCGCGTAACGCTGGAGCTCCACCACTCGTACATAGCCATTGTCTTTTGTAAAACGCCTCTCCCACGCCTTCGCCACGTGCTTCTATACTCGTGCGGATTGGCCGATCTTTTTAAATTAATATCTCATCAATTATTGTGAAGATCGCAAAATGGTACAGAACGTTTCTACTCGTAGAGTAGAAAAGTTCTGTACCATATATATATATATATAGCATATATTACAGCACACACATATGCATACATACAATATATATATAGTATATTGTATGTATGCATGTGTATGCTGCATGGTTGGGAAAATTACTTTATAAAAGTAACTCGTTATCGTTACCGTTCTTTTTTCTAAAAAGTAACTCGTTACCAATTTTAAAAAGTAACTCGTTACCATTACCGTTATTCAAAAAATAACGAGTTGTTACAATTTCCATTAGTTTTCTTATATATAACACAAACTTTACATACAATTTTTTTTAATACAAGATCAAATTAAACACTAAAAATTTTTAAACATTATCTTACAAAGTAGAAAGAAACAAGATACCAGAATAATCTTTCAGTAGTATTCATGTAATGCTGCATTCCAATACTCTTATCAATATGTTCCTTTGTATGAAAATTATACCGAGTAAATTCGAAAAAAGTAACGATAAAAGTAACTGTTAAATTCGTTACTCGTTACCGAAAAATGTAACGAAGTTACTTTTTCCGTTACAAACAAAATTTGTAACGCTGTTACCGTTACAGTTACCGAAAAAAGTAACCGTAACGGTAACGACGTTACAAGTAATGCGTTACTTCCCAACCCTGGACTATGCTGTATGGCTATCTTTTTATTTGGAGAAAGTAATTACACTAATGACTCAAAGGAAAAATATTAAATATTCTAAAAATAAATAACTTCAAAAATATATATACATATATGGACTTCAGTTTATGATTTTATTTCAAACCATTTATTGTCCTTAAACGTATTTACTACACACTTATATGCAATAATTTATATAAAGACGATATATGTGTTGAAGAAAGTGTTTTTGTATGAATATTATTTTCTTATAATCAATGAGCAATACATTTTCCATACGCCACATACACAGACTGAAAAATTTGAATATCAATAACAATTTCTTTCCTTTTTCTTTTTGAAGTAATGTCATTTTCTTATTGTGGATTGTAGTATACAATGTGTTTTGTTTCATTTACTTAACAAATAGAGAGGACAAGTTTTATAAGATAAACATTAATAGGCGAAATTTCTCTCTCTCTCTCTCTCTCTCTCTCTCGAAGAATAAGAATAGTTTGGTTTTGTAATACAGAAAAAAATAAAGAAGCACTACTAGAACCCTTCTGCCCGACATACAATACACACTATATACATACTATAAATCGAAGATCTTATTTACATTTAAAATAACATTAGTAACAATAATATATATATATATATAATAATAGTATAATAGTAGTAATGCAATAATAATAGTAATAGTAGTAGTAGTAGTAGTAGCAACAGCAGCAGTAGTAGTAGTGTAGTAGTATGATAATAATAGTAATAATAATGCCGTTGTATTGTACATTTCTACAAATCATCTCTCAAATTAACATACAGATAACGGCAATATTACAGTTACATAGATAGCTTAACTTGTTTTTCTCCAGCTATTTTCATGCATACCTTAATTATAAATTGTACATATAAGCTGTTCATTTAAATCTATAATATAGACTGATACAACACATAATCTTTTGAAAAAAATTGCTTATAATAATTACGCAGAGTTCAATATAAATAAACTTATTGAAATTTTTAAGATTTATTTCAAGAACTAAATTGCTTTTTATAATTTATAACAATTTATATAAATTGATATTATGCTATCTTTTTAAAAATCTTTATTTTTCATAATACACACATACTTGTATTTAAGAAACATTAAATATCAAATAAAAGAATATGAAATGGGAATGATTATAAAACCGTTTTGTATTTATGAAAAAAAGAAAAAAACTCTAATTTGTACAAGAATATCAACTTATACATGTGTACCACGACTTAATCTTCTTTGTCTTTCGACAAATACTGGTATCAACAGGGTTGCAACTTCTGAAAGAAGGCACAAATCATAGCCATTCTATTGCGCATACACTAGATAGAGCATGTACTTTTGAAAGATTTAGCTCTTCTCACATATTAGTGATCTCTATTATAATTGCTTGAATTAAGCTGATGCTAATATGGCTAACGCCCTGTCGAAGTTATCAATTGGTTGTCAATGGTCAGTTGCTACTTTTTTAGGATGGCGTTCTTGCGCGCGTTTAAGTCGCTGCAATAAAAGACTATGCAGTTGATCGACTTCTTTAGGTGCCGCTTGAACAATAAAAATTCGGATGTCTCCATGAACATCCATTGCGGTTAGTCTTAATGATTTAGGTCCAGCACGTTCTGCGGTCATACCCGGCCATACTTTCGTATTCAGAATCAATCTTTGTGTTCCAGCGGTGCGGCCGACTAAACGAGATTCTTCATCTCGATCGTTAAGTCTTAGTGTACCTCTTCCCCTTTCCTGCCAATTGCTAGTGGTCTGCAATATAAAAAAATAGAAACCAAAAATTTTTTAAATTTAATGGTGCACATACGCACGGGTAGTCCTCATATATTATATAAAATTAAATTTATGCAACACATTCATACTTGACTAAAATACAATATAAAATTTTTCAACACACACTCAGAACAGTTATATCCAGACAAACATAAAAAAGTAAAGATAAATAGGAAACAAGATAAAATACAATATAAATAAAAAACAAATTAAAATAAAAATAATAAACAAAATGTAATAAAATTGGAAATAACAATTAATTGAAAAAAAGTCTAAATAAAGTAAATAGATAAATAGTATATAAAGTAAACAATAGGATGCATAATATATAACATTATATATATTTAATGGTTCATTGTACATATTAAATTCACATTTTTATTAAATTTATGTATAAAATTAGAAAAGTTTATTTCATAAAAATAACTCGCCACCGCTACAGTTATTCATCACCAATTTTAAAAAGTAACTCTACCTCTTTATTTGTTACTGATTTTCAAAAATACCTCATTATCATTACTGTATACAAAAAGTAATAAGTTGTTATAATTAATTTCTTTAACGCTATGAGAAATCAAAGATATATATAATATATATAAGTTATATATAAAATTTATATATAACTTATATATAAAAGTTATATATAAAATTTACATTTTTTGGACATTTTTTATATTAAATAAACAAAAACGATATAATTTTAATACTGATATTACTGCCGATATAAAATATATATTTTTATAATTTTCGTAATAATTTTGAATCTTAATATAAAAAAAAAACTTATTTCAAAAATATCATTAAAAAAAAAATTTTTTTTGAGATCTTCAAATTCTGTAAGTGTAAATAAAAAAAGGTTTTCTTAGTTTTTTCTTTTATTAAATTCGTAGATATGATCAAAATCACCTTTTATGTATCTTTAACTTCATGCAATTTCAAAATTCTGATGTATTAACTAATTATTTATAAATCAATCCGAGTTTTTAATATGCAAAATTTATAAGAATTACATGATCTGGTTTAAAATAAGACTAGTTGAATTTTTCATCGATTATTTATTAAATTTTAAAAGAATTTAATGCTCTTTATATATTTGTGTGAAAATCATGCCATATAAATTCAAAAAATAATAATATAAGTAATTGCTGAATTCATAATGCATTACTGAAAAATGTATGAAAGTTACTTTTTCTGTTACAGGTAAAGTTTGTAATGCCATTATTACTGTTATAATTAGCAAAAAGAAAATAATGGTAACACTATTACAATTAACGCATTATTTCCTAACCCTGATTTTATCCATTAAAAAGTTTTCATTATACATACCTTATCAAACGCAAATAATTTGCAATTAATTTGAAGAATATTTGTTTCTCCTTCTTCACCAGTTAATAATGTTACTTGACTATATTTTCTCTTGTTTGCGCGATTAGCCTCTTCTAAAACTTGTGCTGCTTGCGTTAATGTTAAACCTGGCCTCACAGTAGCACGACAATTTGCAGCTGCATTTGAGAATAAAAGTTTAGCAGATCCATTCTCATTACTTTCTTCAATTTTTGTCTCTTCTTTTTCAGAATTATCTGAACTTTCTGTATCATTCGAAACAGTAACACGTTCTTTTAAATTTTGACCAAATACAAAACTAGGAGTGTCTGCACTGGGTGTTACAGTATTATTTACATTATTTTCGTTTTCCTTTGTATTCACACCCAATGGTAAAAATTTTGGTTTTACATCTTCTGCAGGCTTTTCTTCATTTTTAGATTCTACATTCATTTCAGTTTTATTATCTTTTGTTATAGACTCATCCTCTATAGTATTATTGATAACCTTTGCAAATGGATTGTGAAATTTTGCAGGTTGTAAAACATTTTTATCAGTAGTAACTGCAGAACTATTGGTGACTATAGTTAATTGCGATGGTCTTAATATAGACGATTTCAATTTACTTGTTACAGAATTTGAAAATTCATTAGCACCAAATAAATTTCCAAACTTTGAAGCAACTAGCACAGGACCTGTAAGTATATTATATATATATATATATACATACACACACACACACACACACACACACACACACACACACACACACACACACACACACACACACACACACATATATATATATATATACATATACACACACAGAGAAAGAGATATATATATATATATATATACACACACACATGCATACAAATATATATAATAAATATAATAGTATACATCAGTTTTCTTAGATTGCATAAACTCACAATGTTTTTTATTAGAAGATTTAATAGGTGCCAATGTAGATTCTTGGCTATTTGATTCAATTATTTGATGTGTTTCATCTACAAAATCCATAAGTTTAGTATATTATTAAACAATTAAATATTTTGTAATAAAAAGTAACAAAAATATATAATTTATTATCAGATTACTCATTTTTTTGTAATCGCTTCATGAATTTTTAAAATGTCTTAAAATTTTAGAATACTCGTAACCATATATACCCCAATCAGATGGCATGGCTGAATTACTACTCGTCGAATCCCCGGTAGTATCTTCGGTATTTTCCGGTGATTCTTCGGGCGGATCAACTTTTAGGACAAGTGATGGACGATCAATTTCCTCTGTAGTTTCTAAAAACAACATAAAGAATTAAAATTATATTGCCATGAATGGTTAGTTCGTTAGTCCGTGGACATGTAAACATGGAGATTTCGCCAAAAAAAGACACAATACATTTTTAATTAAATGTTACATCGTATAAATCATGTGACATGAAATACTTGTAGCATTAACTCGATATTATCTTACGACTTTTTTGCGTAATGTAATTAAATCAAGAGAAAACACAAAACGCACCCTTGCAATCCGCCATTTTTTGTCGTCGAAATGAATACAGACAAATGATATTATTAAGGTACATTTTCATATTGATGCATTGATGCTTGATGTTCATTTTCAGAAGATATATGAAATGATTAAAGGCTGGTTTATGCAGGCCGTAACTGTTAATTTATGCCGGAACCGTTAAAGTTTAACACTAGGATTACAATGCTTTTATTCATAATGAGTGTGTTGGATGACACACTACTTACTAATTACTACCACAACTAAACGTAACACTATACATATACGAAGATTCAAGATGGCAACGAAATGGTCCAAGTTATTCCATTCGGCAAACCTGGCCACATACGGAACATTTTTCGTGACCACTTTCAATCTAGGTAGATAACTCTCCTTACTCTTCCTTCATGGTCTAAACCAATGAGCATCGAAATAAAATCGCCATATTGATTTGCATAGCATGCTCATTGGTCCAGATGGTCTTATGCTATGCATATGCAGCTATGCCAATTTGTGTGTGATAGGCTATAGGCTTGATAAGCAGGGAGCACATACTTTTGCATAAGCGCATAACCATAAGCATAAGGAAATTGATTGGTCCATTTCCTTATGCACATACTTATGGACCAATCAATTTCCTTATGCTTATGGTTATGCGTTTATACAAAAGTGTGTGCTCGAGCCCATTGGCTTTAAGCGGGGAGCACACACTTTTGCATAAGCGCATAATCATAAGCATGAGGAAATTGATTGGTCCATTTCCTTATGCATAAAGATTTATCAAAAAGTATTATAAAGAAAAAATTAGAAGCGCGAGTAAACGCGTAAGCGCATATGCTAAAAGAATAAAGCTACGCAATATGCAGTACATAGTAAGTAGTAAGCGAGCGATTAGAAAGAGAGATACAGAGAGAAACAGAGTAAGCGTATGATCGAGAGAAAGAAGATATTAGAAATTGCGATAATGTTAGTGCGTACATGCATATTACTCTCTCACGCATGAATTAAAGTTTGGTAATTTATCAATTAATTATTGTATATAAAGCAGTAAAAATATATTGTGATATTGTCTCATTTCAATATATGGAACACAATGCAAAAGATTGCGTTTTCTATTATGCATGTTTGAAATAATTATGTTGGTAATGGCGGAACTAAAAATGTCGGTATTATCGACCCTTTTAGTTACGTTTAGATGAGGGCGCTATCCCGTCGGAGTTCGCCCGTCGGTTTAGGATCCACCGGAAATAAGTTGGCGCTGGAAGCTTATATTTTTTAATAATTAATAGCTCAAACGATTGCTTCTTAATTGCTCCGTCAGAATCCACAATTGCTCCCCTTTTAAAATTAGTAGTTTTCGAAATATTTACAAAAAACGTAAAATTTATCATTTTCACTCAAAAACATATTTCCAATAGTTTTCTGCAACTATATCCAGTATAAAACAATTGCTCCTTAATTGCTCCATATTGCTCCATCATTATTTTCATGATTTATCTTGTGTGGTTTGTGTCTTGTGTTCTTCGAGTCGACGAGATTTTCGAGTCATCGAATTTCCAAGGACAACGACCTACTAGACTTCTGAATTTCACAACGCAGAGTATCGACAGAATTTGACGATGCCTTTGGACGAATCTTCGACTTCGAATCCTACAGCGTCAGCATCAGTTCCATCGGCTGGAGAACATCATCAACGTTTGACGAATCCGACACAAACTCTTGCCAGTAATGAGCCTCATCAACAAGGTCAGCCAAACGAGATCCATTCTAACGAATTTCGCCTTGTTAAATTGCCGAATTTTTGGCATAAGCAGCCTAAATTGTGGTTTGCTCAATTAGAAAGCGAATTCTTGGTTTTTCGGATACGCTCAGATGATGTTAAGTATAGCTCGGTTATACGGCATCTTGATGAGCAAGCTTTGTTGGCTACTGCTGATTTGATTGAAAAACCTCCTGAAAAAGATAAATATCTTCATGTTAAAAACGTTTTGATTAATCGGTTTACTGATTCGGAGGAAAAACGTCTTCGTCAATTGTTAGCTGGTGTTGAGCTGAATGACAAGAAACCGTCGGATTTGCTACGCGAAATTAAACAGTTAGCGGGAGGAGCGATTTCGGAAAATGTATTGCATTCAATTTGGTTGCAAAGATTACCTTCGCAAATTCAAGCTACTTTAGCGGTTGTGGACGATTGTCCTTTAGTTAAGCTTGCTGAACTAGCGAAAAGACACATTTTGTTGATCTCGAGCGAAGAATCGCAGCTCTGGAAGTTAGACGTGTACGCAGCAGATCTAAATTTAGATACAAGGAAAGGAAAGGATTTAGATCATCTTCTAGGAATAAATCTGATAAGGATAACCAAAAAATTTGTTTTTATCATAAGAAATTTGGTGTTAAAGCTTTTAAATGTACAATACCTTGTGATATGTCTAAATCTTTGGTCGAAAGGCAGGAAAACTAGCTTCACCGTTGAGTTGTGAGGCGGCTGACAACGGTTCACCTAACAATCGCCTCATTATTTCTGATAAAACTTCAGGACTTAATTTTCTTGTTGATACAGGAGCTGATATTTCTTTCGACTTCGCCCCGATATTTTTCTCGCCTTCGTCTCTCCAGGGGGGTAAAGAGGGATTATTGTAATTCGCCTTGTTAAATTGCCGAATTTTTGGCATAAGCAGCCTAAATTGTGGTTTGCTCAATTAGAAAGCGAATTCTTGGTTTTTCGGATCCGCTCAGATGATGTTAAGTATAGCTCGGTTATACGGCATCTTGATGAGCAAGCTTTGTTGGCTATTGCTGATTTGATTGAAAATCCTCCTGAAAAAGATAAATATCTTCATGTTAAAAACGTTTTGATTAATCGGTTTACTGATTCGGAGGAAAAACGTCTTCGTCAATTGTTAGCTGGTGTTGAGCTGAATGACAAGAAACCGTCGGATTTGCTACGCGAAATTAAACAGTTAGCGGGAGGAGCGATTTCGGAAAATGTATTACATTCAATTTGGTTGCAAAGATTACCTTCGCAAGTTCAAGCTACTTTAGCGGTTGTGGACGATTGTCCTTTAGTTAAGCTTGCTGAACTGGCTGATAAAATTTTGGACCGAGAAATTAACCTACATGTAGCAACAATAGCTTCCTCGGCAGGAAAAGACACTTCGAATTTTGTTGATCTCGAGCGAAGAATCGCAGCTCTGGAAGTTAGACGTGTACGCAGCAGATCTAAATTTAGATACAAGGAAAGAAGAAGATTTAGATCATCTTCTAGGAGTAAATCTGATAAGGATAACAAAGAAACTTGTTTTTATCACAAGAAATTTGGTGCTAAAGCTTTTAAATGCACAATACCTTGTGATATGTCTAAATCTTTGGTCGAAAGGCAGGAAAACTAGCTCCACCGTTGAGTTGTGAGGCAGCTGACAACGGTTCATCTAACAATCGCCTCATTATTACTGATAAAACTTCAGAACTTAATTTTCTTGTTGATACAGGAGCTGATATTTCTTTGATTCCAAAAAGATTTGTTTCAAAAGCTCAAGTTGCTTCTTTCAAGCTTTATGCAGCTAATGGAATCAAGATTACTACTTACGGTATAAAAATGTTAACTGTAAATCTTGGATTACGAAGAATTTTTAAATGGGAATTTTGCATTGCGGATATTCAGAGACCTATATTGGGCGCAGATTTTTGAGTCATTATGGAATTTTAGTTGACATTAAAAACAAAAAACTTCTTGATAGTGTTACCGGTCTTTCATTTAAAGGAAAACTATCTAAAGTTAATCACTTGTCAATTTGCACTACATTTCCTGACTCACCTTTCCATAAGATCCTTGCTGAATTTCCTGAATTAACTCATTTTGCTCCTATATCAACAAACAAGATTCATCAAATTAAGCATCATAGTGTTGCGTTCCTGCGGGTCGTCTAAGGCGGTTATTCATGAATCTGCTGTATTCGTCTCCGGGAGAACGTTGCTAAGCGTTGTTGTTAAACAACGGCGGACATCTTGAGAAAGATCGGGCCATCTGGAGTCTCGCGACGGATGTCATTCCGGGCGGACATATTTGAGATACGATTACCGTTATTACCCGTTCTGTGTTCCTTGTTCATTTGTGTGTTCTGTGTTATTATTATAGTTCCTTTTGTTCTTTTAAAAGAGTGTTAATCATTTACGTCGCGGTACGCGAGTGCCGTTTGTGTCGCGCGTGTTCGAGTATTATCGATGTCGACGCGCGGACGCAACAATATTATTACAAAAGGACCATCAATTGCTTCAACTTCTCGCAGATTGTCACCGGAAAAATTAAAATTTGCAAGAGACGAATTTAATTTTATGGTGGAACAAGGAATTTGTAGACCGTCAAACAGCACCTGGGCAGCTTCACTTCACATGGTTCCTAAAAACGGACCGAACTCATGGAGACTTTGCGGCGACTATCGAGCTTTAAATGCAGCTACTCTCTGTTCCGGATCAATACCCGCTTCCTCACATTCAAGATTTCACTGCTGGTTTACACGGTAAAAACATATTTTCTAAGATTGATTTAGTTAAAGCCTATTACCAAGTGCCAGTTGCAAAAGAGGACATACCAAAAACAGCTGTTACTACTCCATTCGGCCTTTTTGAATTTCTTGTAATGCCTTTTGGTTTGCGTAATGCTGCTCAGACTTTTCAACGTCTTATGAATATCATATTATCTGGACTTGATTTTTCTGTCTGTTATCTTGATGATATCTTAATTGCTTCTGTTAATGAGAAAGAACATGCCAAACATCTTCATACTGTGTTTTCTCGGCTTAAACAATTCGGCATGACGATTAATTTGTCCAAATGTCTCTTTGGTAAGGATGAAATTTCTTTCCTTAAATATTTAGTTTCCAAGCAAGGAATTAAACCGACATCTGAAAAGGTTAAAGCCATTATTGATTATAAAAAACCTAAAACAATTCATGAGTTAAGAAGATTTATAGGTATTATCAACTTTTACCGTCGTTGTCTGAAAAATGCTGCATCACATCAGGCAGTTCTTACGGATTATCTTAAGGATAGCAGGAAAAGGGATAAAAGGTTAGTCACTTGGACTTTTGAAGCTGAAGAAGCTTTCAAAAATTGCAAAGAAGAACTCTTACGAGTCACAACTTTAGCGCATCCGGCTTCAACTGTACCTCTTATCCTCACTTGTGACGCATCGGATTTTGCAGTTGGTGCATCTTTGG